TAATAATAATAATAATAATAAATATTATAATATAAATATAAAAATATAAGTTTAAATTATTTAAATTTATATTTAAATATAATAATATATAATAATTTAATAAAATATAATAAAATTTAATTATTTAAATATTATAATTAATATTATATTTAAATAAAATAATATAATAATATTTAATTATATTATAATATATAATATTCAAATATTATATTTAAATAATTAAATATAAATTTAATATATAATATTTTTATAAATATGTGAATATAAATTATATATTTAATACTAATAAATTAATAATAAAATAATAATAAAAAATAATAATAACTAATAATAATTATAAAATAATTAAAATTTTTTTATTTATATATATAGAGTTTTTAAAATGTAAAATGACGTGTGTATCACGTCAACGGCAACCAGGAATAGAATTTGAAAAGACGTGAATTCAGTCGCGAATGTGTTAAGAAATATAATTGTATTCTATGCAGTTTGAAGAATACTGTAAATGAGAAGAAAAAATATATTTTTGAACCGGTATTTGTTAGGGTTCGTGTTCTGTAGATTTTCTAGAACGAAATGTAGAAAATAATTTCCGCTAGTTGAAAAATGACTCTCGTCAAACTAACGGACGCACACGCTCGATTCGGTCCACAGAGTTCAAAACGACCTGGAAGATCAAAAAGCTTCTATACTAAGCGGATGTCCTGAAGAGGGACCGATCAGTGTCGTGGTGTTTATGTTAACCGGCCGGGCTTCTCCTCATCTTCATAACGGTGTTATTAATGTCGGGGATGAAAATACATACGTAAATATAATAATCAATAACTTCTAAGCTAACTTTTGATTATAATAATAAAAGATATTTTATTATTTCAAGGCTGTACCACAATGGGGTATTCTAGTAAGAAGCGAAGTAGGTTTTTTAATTCACGAGGGTGATGGTCAAACTAGCAAAATACCTGGTTCTAGATTGAAAACTCCAAGTTTACCGATATGGGTTACTTTGTGTCATGGTCATCATGGTGTTCTATTTAATACTAACAAGGAATTGTTAAGAAATTATCATGCCGAAAGACGGTAATTATATAATAATATAGAAAAATATAGAAAAAATGATAACATTTGAATTTTGCATCGTAAGATTTGAGGTGCAGTATTTCGCATGCGGTGGAAGTCATGCAACATTGACCGTTGATACCAGGGCTAACGAAAATGCATCGGGTGTTGAATCTACAAGCAAAGAATCCATTGATATTGCTGCTACACCATTGGAAAAACTTATTCGTTCTAAGTAAGATTAATATTTATATTCATCAAAATAATCACTATTAAATTTAATATCGTAACAAATTTTCATTTTATATGTTTTTTCAAGATGGCAGGATGCACAGATACAATGGAACGGTGCACCATTGATGTAATATCGTTCATTCAAATTCAAATTGAATTCTTCTATTAGATTTTGAAGAAATTAATCGTCATATGTGTTTACTTTGTTATCAGGTAAATTAATTTTGATTAAATTTAAGAAAATATCTTATATGAAAAATGATTCACAAAGAAAATAATTTTTTTACTCGTAGAAATGGTTTATTTGCAAACGTGGGATAGGAAAAAGCAGATCGTTCCATTCCGGGGATGACAATTCCCGTCCCTCGTCGTTGAACCGTCTCGAATCTTCCATCCGTGAAATCGACAAGTATAGTTCTTTCATATCGTGAGAAATAACTATTTTTATTCTGTCGTTTGAATTTGCAACTTTATCTATAGAACGAAACTTACATCTACGGTATTTTGTCGAAATATATTTTTGAAGTAATGCCAATAACTATGTTACACATATTTTTATAATGGTGTTTTTTTTTCTTCTTTCTTTTTTTGTTGTTGTTGTTGGAAAAAGGAAAGGCGAACCATCATTGGATCCAACTTCCGTGACATGAAAATCTTTTTACGCTATAGATGGTAATAATAATAATAATAATAGAAGAAGAAGAAATCGTTGAATTATTCGCGGTAGAAAATTAAAATTATTAGATCATATATATACATGAATAATAAATGATTACGTTGAATTACATTAGAATAACATGTATTACAAGTATTAAATATATATTATGTTTATTTCCGAGCCATAAGATTTAACTATATAGTAATTAAATCGTTTATTTTATAACAGATTACCTCTGTTATACTATAATATTCAATTAATACATAAAAACGTAGTGTGTAATATGTAATAACATATTGTATCCTAGTATTACAATAACGTGCATTAAACATGTTCTGTAATAGAATTCAAAATAATAATATATATAATCCATAAATGTTAAAACATTTCTACAATATTATTCGTTAACAACAATATAAATAAATCATACGTTATCTTGTAATAGAAATATTAGAACCTTTGAAGAAAGAAATCACGTTACATCGAAGAAGAAGTTACGTGTGCAGTGTGCTATCAAAAAAGAAAAAGGAGGAGGGAGTAATGCATTGGGGATGAAGAAGAGGGGAGGAAGGTTACGCACTATAGCACGCGACTACTCATGTCAGTTGTTTGGTTGGTGTTAGTGTTGGTTTGCACGCATGCACGCATGCACGCACCCCTCGTTTCACTTTGAACGAAGGTGAACACCTGTTCACTTGGTCGTCGTGGAGTTGGAGTGGTCGGACCCCCCACTTCCGGTCGAATCGGAGGAGAACCTTCCCGAGAGTTGTGTTGTGCTCGCTTTGTTCATTATTACAACTCGTCTTTCGTAGTAACGAATCCAAAGTGAACAAAACTTGCTCATCTTCATTTAATTTATTATTGATTTATTTTTTTTAATGATTACGCGTCGAATTGTGATGTGATTTGAAAATATAGTGTGTGTGTGTGTGTATTTGTGTGATTGTATGTGAGATATTTTTTTGAGGGTAGACAGGTGTATCGTAAAGAACAGGTGGATTATTAGATAGTGTTTCTCTTTTGTTATTTTAGTTGAGTTTTAAGATTGATGGGTAATACGATTCTGATGACAAACGGCGTTCGTGGTGAGTATTTGTTTATAAATTCTTTTTTAAGATTTAGGATATTTCAAGTATTTGAATATTTACGGAAGTTCTTTCACGGAGGTTGCTCATGGATATGTTTGGGTTTACGGTTAACGAATTAACAGTACGGTGTCCCAGTGAGCTATATCAATTCATTTCAAATTATCTTTAATTAATATTGCAAATTTAAATTACATTTAGCTTAAAAATAAATGTCAATCAATATATTCATTGGGATACTCGTAAACAGGGACAATTAGTATTATACTTTCTAATGTATAATCTGACAAAGATTTAGCGCAAAATCGAAAGGAAAAGCGAAAAAAAAAGGAAGGTCAAACTGAGATGGATGGGTGATGGTACTACTCTCTTTTAATTTTATAAATTACGAATTTAGAAACGTCTTTTCTGTAGGAAGTTGCCGCCGGTTCTGCACTTCGATGATGCCAAGAGTCCTACATAACCACGTAATAAAGGAGTTTCTCTGCATGCTTTCTAACCACGCGTTATGAACAACAACCTTACCCCCCTCGAGTTCGAAATATCACTTATTCAAAGATCATTTGTTCAAATATTTTCTGATCATTGATGTTAAAGAAATTTTATCTCGTTACAGATGCATCAGGAAAAACTCGAATTGGTGGATTATGACATTGAGTCGCTATGGGGACCAGTTTACAAAAGATCTTAATTCTTATTTTTTCCTGTATGCTTCAATTAGTTACAGGACAATGTGAGTTATATTAAATATAATTTGATAATATTATTTTGTTAAGATTAGTTTAAGGGTAGGGAAAGAAAAAATAGCTTCGTGAAAGATTGGAAAAAGGAAAAGTTAGTTAGTTAGTTAGTTAGTTTGAAGTTGTAACAATATTTTGTACAACTTTACAATCGAGTTTGCCTTAGGATTTAACCGGAACTTCGCTCCAGGGAAGCGCGCATATCTACCCTCTCGCATACTTTCGTTCGCATGTAATCGTTTGCTATACTACTCGTTTATACAACACATAGATGCAACGAAAAGGTGCTCAGGTAAAACACAAACGCAACTTACTTACATCGTTTTTGCTTAGTTCGAACAAAATCTTTTTCTTCTTTCATTAATGAGATAATTGTTAGACCAATTGATTGAATTTCCAAAAGAAAAGAAAAAACACAGAAGAATTTGAACGCATACAATTGTATAAGAATCTATGGATGTGTGCGACCGATTCAAGCAGGACGTTGTGAAATCCTTGGAGAGACATCCGGCACGCGTCGTAATACCAAACGAAATTTGATGAAAAAAGGACACCTAACGTTACACCAGGTGTTGTATCGATTACATCAAGTAGTTCGATACGAGAAATTTCACGAGATATCTTAGTTTTCAATGCTTGAATGCTTCAATGCACCGATGCTTTTTTAGCAACGGTAACAACGCCCATTCTTCTTTCATTTCTCTTCATTTTTATTTATTATTTATTACATATATATTACTTTTCGAATCAAATTTTAGATTTCACAAGTAACATATGTATGAACCGTTTATTTGAAAAGTAACCCAAGTCCATTTGAATATATTTTGTTATTGTAATGTAACGTTATAAACAACTGGAAACTTCCACTTGAAACTTATTGCCATTAAAAACATTTGACGGAAAAAAATAAAAGGTGGGCTTAGGTCATTATTCAAATAAACGGCTCATTTATTCTGCTCGTTCAAAGAATATATAAATTGATCAATACACCACACATACTCGTTTGAAATTCGATTTAACACAATCACGAATATATCTTTTGTCAAACCTGAAAGACAATTCTTTGAAATTTTGGCTTCGCTGGAATTGTTAAAAAAAAACCGGTTTTTATTTGGCGAAAAACCGGAAACCACAAATGACAACTGACACTGGCCTGACGTACTTATATACATTCTATCGTGAGAAAATATTTTCGTATTTAAACGATGAATACATTAAATTTCTAAAGTTCACCACTTCCTTTAATTAATATTACAAATAGGTTAATTGTAGTCTACTGCATATTATTTGTTGCACTTAACACATTAATTTTTGTCTATATCTATCATTGTGTTTTATTTTGTATTCTTTCTTTGTTGATATATTTGATTATTGAACACAGTGATCCGAGACACGAGATGTTTCTTGGAAAACGGTGCTACGGCAGCTCATCTTTTTGTCAACGAGGATCACGCAGTTGGAGATATCGTCGGCGTACTTGGTGTCTTAGGAGATCCAGGACCACACGGGGACATTAAATTGAGACTCCAAGAACTCGATAGTCCTGTAGAATTTTCACCTTACTCGAAAAACTTAACTTTAACAAGACCATTAGATAAGGAAGGTGTTGACGGACCTGCAAGTGTTTACGTTAACGTCATATGTGAAAGAAAACGTACATTAGATCCTGTTAGTACAAATCTTTACTTTAGCAAAGAAAAAATATCGATCCTAGACACGAACAATATTAATTCTTTAGTATGTTCTATTTTATTTTCTTTTTAATTCAGGGTTTCGTGATACCAGTTAATATTCGCGTGACTGATGCCAATGATAACGCTCCTCAATTCGTAAATGCACCTTACGTATTAAATATTTCAGAGGTAAGAAACAAATAAAAAAAAACAAAAAACCCCTTTATGATATATACGATGAAAAGAAGAATCTAATTAAAGTGCAATAAACCTAATGTGCATACGCATTATACATCCGTTTCGTTTTTAGGTCACGGTCGTTGGCACAAGAGTATTGCAGGGTGTTCGAGCAGTGGATGCAGATCAGCCAGGGCCTTATTCTACTGTGCAATATGCCGTTTTACCGGGGCCTCATTCTGTACATTATTTTATTCATTTTCTTTTTGATATCAATTATTAACATATATATTTTATATGTATATTTTTTTGTTGTATATAGGAATACTTTGTTTTTGTGAATGCATTAGAGGGTACATTAGTATTAAGAAAACCATTGGATTACGAAGTTCTTACAAATTTTTCTATCGATATTCGAGCACAAGTAAGTTGACTAATAGATTTTTGGAATTATTATTAAAAAGATAAAATATGAAATAATATATTTTTATTTGATAGGATCAGGGTAATCCACCACGATCCTCGACAACGACGTTATACGTAAACGTAATTGATGCCGATGATCAAAATCCTGCGTTTCTCAATGATCAGTACAAAGTCAAAGTTCCTTCTCAAATGAAAACGGTAATTGTAGATCAAATTTCAATAATAATAATTCTCATAGGAGAATAATAATAATATATTTATTATATTTTCTTACAGAGAACAGTTTTGAAAGTGGAACCAGCATCGATAAAAGCTGTCGATCAAGATAGTGGTATCAATGCACCCGTTAGATATACTATTCAAGGAGGAATTTTACCTTTCCTAATATTAAATCCTGATACAGCTGAAATATCTATTATAAGATCGTTGCAAGATAACGAATTGCTATCTCCAGCTACTATTGTCGTTAAAGTGAGTTTTATACCTTGTCCCCTTTACAAATAATATATTTTCTTTTTAATACTTTGTGTGTGTGTGTGTGTGTGTATGTTCTGCAAATGAATGATGCAGCATTTAAAAAAGTATTAACAAGCATCTATATATCTATTGTGTATACCATCTTGTAAGACACGGTTTCTAATTTTGTCATTGAATTCTTAGGCCACACAGATAGACAATCCTGATAGATATGCATTGGCAACTATCGTTGTATCTCGAGAGGATGTTTATGGGACAGGTCCTACAGCAGGTAAATAATTATACTAATGAATATGTCACACTGGTTAGACAGTTAAAGTTTAGTTTATCTGCACATCACTTATAGTAGTAGGCACTCGTTAAAATGAAAATAAAATCTTTGCTGGAACAATATGCTTAAATTATTCGATCTACAAGTAAGTTTCCAGCATTTTTTCATAAAATTTGAGAATTTATTCTGAAAAAATGGTTGCATATTTTTCATTCGAAATATTGTCCATCGGAAGATACAATTTTTCCCATCTTTCTGGCAATTTGTGAATTCCGGACCAAAAAAAGTTTTCGTCTTTTGAGCCTAAGAATGTATTGAGCCAATTTTTGATTCCCTCTACTGAAGTGAAGCACATTTCGGTAAGAACATTCTGCATCGACCGAAACAAGTGGTAGTCGGATGGTGCCAAATCTGGACTATATGGCGGGTGAGGCAGAATTTCCCATCCACTATTATCCAAGTAGTTTTTGACCGAAGCAGCAACATGTGGCCGAGCGTTGTCGTGGTGAAAAATTACAGACNGACTATAAGGCGGGTGAGGCAGAATTTCCCATCCACCATTATTCAAATAGTTTTTGACCGAAGCAGCAACATGTGGCCGAGCGTTGTCGTGGTGAAAAATTACAGACTCGTGCCTGGTCTGATATTCTGGCCGTTTTTCCGCCAATGCCCGCTTCAAACGAATTAGTTGGGTTCGATACAATAGTCCTTTGATGGTTTAACTACTCGGAAGCAGTTCGTAGTATATGACACCCTTCTGATCCCACCATATGCAGAGCATGATCTTATTCATGTGAATATTTCGCTTCGGCGTCGATTTGGCCAGCTCGCCAGGCTTTGCATATGTTTTTTTGCGTTTAGGATTATCATAACAGATCCACTTTTCGTCACCAGTGACAATACGATGCAAAAACGACTTTTTTTTTATGCCGCTACAGCAACATTTTTGACATGCAAAATCGCCGTTCGACATCTCTCGGCTTCAACTCATACGACACCCAATTTCCAACTTTTTGGATGAATCCCAAAGCTTTCAGGCGCAAGAAAATGGCTTGTTGTGTGACACCCAATGATGCAGCAAGCTCTTCTTGAATTTGACACGGATCCTCATCCAGCAAAGCCTCCAATTCCTCGTCTTCCAAATTTTTCGGCTTTCCGGAGCGCTCCTTGTCTTCAACGTCAAAATCACTATTTTTGAACCGTTTGAACCACTTACGACACGTCGATTCACCAATACATTCCGCCCCGTAAGTTTCCAGGAGCAAACGATAGGCCTCAGCTGCACTTTTCTTCATATTAAAAAATAGAAGTAGCGTTTCCCGAAAATGACGCTTATTTGGCACATAACTTGCCATGTTTTTGCTTCATAAAATATACGACGCCGATAGAAATGCGCCAATATGATGATGCAATGTTGTTAATAAATACACAAGCTTCGAAAATGACACATGAGATGTGACATTTCTGCCCGGAATTTACTCGTGATATCATCTATTAAAAAACGCTGTAAACTTACTTGTAGACCCAATAATATAATATTATTTATTTGAATTGATTATTAACGCAATACATTTTATAATTAGGTGGCCGAATACCAACAAAATTTACCCTGAAAGATTACCAAGTAAAAATTCCTGAAAACACGCCATCAGGTAGTGTTATTTTAACCATGAATGTCAATAAAGCTGATTCCGTAAGTATTTTTTAATAATACAATTGAGTTATATTTTATTTCTTAAGTTAAAATAAAATTCTATTTTTAATGTGTTTCAGACATTAAAATTTTGGCTCGTAGGAGCAGCCGAAGATTTGGAAAGGTTTTCTGTAACACCTTCTGGCGAATTAATATTAAAGGGTACACTTGATTATGAGAAAAGAACTCAACATAGTTTTTTGGTCCAAGTTACTGACGGTTACTTTGTATGTCTATTTTAAAATAGTTGTTTTTCTTTTTTAAAAAAATATTATTTTTTATTTTATTTTAATGTATACTTTATTTGGGATTTAGAACGATACGTCTAGGGTGAACGTATCAATCGAAGATGTTAACGAATGGGAACCAAGATTTCGACATCCAAGATATGAATTTCATGCACGTTCTTTAAAAGAAGGTTCTATCGTCGGTAAGTTACATTTATAATATTATATAGATCAATATTATATCGTATTTAGAAAAGAATATCGACTACATATAAATTTTTAGGAAGATTGGAAGCAGCAGATGGTGACAGAGATGATACAGTTCGATTATCATTAAGGGGTCCGGATGCAAGGTATATATTTTTGTTAAATAACAATATTTATTTATATATTATAACAGTTTATATGAAATTTGTAGATCATTCGAAATACACGACAATGGTGAATTGATTTTAAGATCAGCAAACACCATAAATGGTTCTATGGCACGTTTGGTAGCTGTTGTATCAGATTCGGGACGTCCTGCAAGGTACATATAAATTGTAATTAATTTCTTTTAATGAATAATAATAATAATAATATTATTTTCAGATCGAGTATGGTACCAGTAATAGTTCACATACCGAATGGTGCGTCATTACCTGTTGCGGCAAGAGCTGCACCTGCTTGGTTAGGTAGCAGTGTACTTTTGGTAGCAGTTTTTGGTGCTGTTTTAGGACTACTTGGTGTCGTCATACTTATTCTTATTCTTTACATATACAAACAGTAAGTTGATTATATAAAAGAAACAAAAATGAGCATAGATATTATAATAAAAATAATTTAACAGCAAGGGTAGTAAAAGTGGTGGATCAGTAAGTTCAGTTGGAACCGGTTATCGTGAAAAATCGCCAGTACCGTCAGCCTTGAGTCCAACCCCACAAGTATTAGGTGCCAGTATTCTTCAAGATACTATGGAAAATAGTTACAGGAAACGTTCTACTACAAACGAAAGTGGAAGTAACGCTAATGAAACCGTCACCGATCTAGATGCACCTTCTACTGGTTTCGGAGAATTGAACGAGCGTGCCTACGCTGCAACGATTAAAAGTATGTTCCCGTCACGAGTTATTCGTGACGGTACGATGCGTTCTTCCTCTTCTTCTTCTCAACGTTTCGAACATCGATTCTTACGTGTTAACTCAAGTATGTCAGGAAGATGCCAAGTTAACAGTCTCAATCCTTTTTTCTCTACGATCGATGAAAATCGACTTAGATATTATTGGCTTTGATTGAATCACAAATGCTCGTACATTGAAATTGCATAATGAATTGTTTTTTTGTAAAATTTATACAAACTATTTTTGTTCTCACTAATAATATAATTGTCATCGTTATTTATGACTTATATATATATATACATATATATATATAGATATCCGAAAAATTGAATCACAGTGTACTTTTTGTTGTTGCGATTAAGTTTAAGAAGAAAAGTATATTCGACTTGAGATTGTTCAAATTACATTTTTCCTTTTATAATAAAAATAACATTGAGATATAAAATAAATCGAATGAAAAATGTCAAAGAAAGGAGAGGAAGGTGTGTGTGAGTGTGTGTGTGTGTAACTTTGAGGGAACTTCATTGGTTCAACTACTAAATGTTATTGGATGCAGGTGTCGCGTCGGCTAGACAACTACCTCTCTATGCTAGGCATAAAATTGCACCAGCACCTGCAAATCCACCTGCCTTATCAGCAACATCAAACATTCCGAATATCGGTGGTCTCGTTCAAAACATGAACGACTTGAGTGCAAGGAACAATTTAGATGCAACTTCCCATGATTCGTCAACTTGTTCCGGTGATCCACCGGATTCTTTGATGACTGTTTGGCCAGTTGGTTCTATGTCACCTAGGGTAAAAAAACTTTCTTGGGACGACGACGATAGGGTAAGTTTGATATTATCAATTTATTATTATCATAGAAGAAATCTTGTTAAAAATATTAAGCTATTTCATTTTTTTTTTATACGAAACCGAATGAATAACTTTCTTTTCTTGTATTTTTTATATTTTAGACTGTTGAAAGTATCGACGTAAGAGCAGAAACCAGGCCAGGAAGTACTAAAACTGAAACTGAACGTCTAAATCTTACCGTTTATTTTTGAAATGTTTAATTTTTTAATTAACGATATATTACTTTTCATTTTTTTTCTGTACATTTTCTTTATCGAACGAACCAACAAAATAATTTCATTGTTAAACCTTTGCACTCGAGTGGCGCTGATACGGCGACCGGCAGATGTAAGTGGCAACTCGAAAGGCGCTGATACGGCGCCCGGTGACTGATTTGAAGTCTTTTGTTACTCAATCTGCTTATTTACGATGAGTGATAAGATATTTCTTATAAAATATACTTAAAGATAATACTTAAAGGGTTGAAAAGGGTTTGTAAGGTTTGCTCTGATCGTAATACACCTGAAGGTACGCCGGAAGTAACATATTATTGTGATACGTGTCCAGATAAACACCTAGGATGTATCTTGGCTATTGTTTTATAAAAAATCATATACAAAAACTAATTACAGAGTATAATATTTCTCAAATTTTCATGTTTTTTGATATAAAAATAAATAAATTGATGAAATTTGATTATTTGTATACGTTTGTTTGTTTATAAATAACTTTTAAAGTCACATTTCATTCAACATTTGTAAAATGTTTCCCTAATTTGGCCGAAATTATTGCTCCAGTTGCTGGTTAGCGCAAATGAAAAAAGGGCCTCGAGTGCAAAGGGTTTATAATAACATCGTATAACTAATTTGAAAGAAAAAAATTAAAAAAACAAAAAAAAAACAGAGACAATAATAGTATTATTATATTATATAATAGTTTAGGATTGTTCTTTCTAATTTGGATAAATTGAAAAATCATTATCTTACGTCAACTATTGTATCTATATTCTTTTGTTTATATATATATATATATATTTCTACTACTAGACAGTGAAACCTGTATACGTGAACTCTAATACTTTTTCATTCTACGTAATCGAGAACATTGAGGTCAGTAGGTCAATCTTTGCGGACGGTCTCTTATTCAGGAAGTAAACCCGGATTTTGCGAGATCATGATCAACCCAAAATAAAAGGGACCAATTTCAAAACATATCGAATACTATGATGATATTTCTATCATCTATATATATATACATAATATACAAGGTGGGACAATAATTCTGTCCATTTTGAATATTCTTTTTTTTTTTTAAATGAAAATACATTGAGAATAAAATATGATCAGAATGAGATATTTTTATTCATTTTTTTCCTTTTACAATAATGAAACTTTTTTCTAATACGATTTATAGATTTATTGTTCCCATACTGTATTTAAGTATTATGTATACGTATATAATACTTTATAAGTAAAATGAGAAGAAAAAGTTTTGTAAATACTGAGATAAATATTTGTTATTAATAAGAGCCGAGTTACCAAATGATCATTAATTTTGCGTTACAGATTCTTATGGTACATTTAAATGATTTATTTTATATATATATATAAGTTTGAAAATAATTGAATAAATGAATGATTATTATGTCATTATCATTGTTATAATCTTTTCGAAAAATGGATAATAAACTTGATGAAAATAATTATTAATATTATACTTAACGCACGTGTCTAACTTTCATAGTATCAATCGTCGTATAAAATGACATTGTAAATGAATTTGTAAAAGAAAGTGACTTGTTTTTCGAGGAGGGGAGAAAGTGACCCAGAGAAGTTCTCAGAAACTGATCATCATCCTTTCGTATCGTTTATCGACAGTCGCACGTTGAACGTTTACAAGTAAAGAACACGGTATATACGTGCGTGTGTACGTCTGTGTATTAAAAATATATTTTAAACATCTAATTACAATAATTGAATAAGAATATAATTATATCGTAATTTTTGATAGTCAGTTAGAAAAACAAACAAAATATCTATTAGGACGTTTACTTTATTCGTCATCACTTTACTTTCAAGATATGCAACGGTGATACACACGGAGAAAGCGGGAAATTCCAGAGTCATTGACAACGATTAATATAAAGGTATAAACGATTAAAAATTATGTGACGTATAGTTTCTTTTTTATTTTAAATTTTGGAACATACTGTATATAAGAAAAGTGATAATTAATTTAATCTTTTTATCAAATTACAGATCGCGAAAATCATGAGACGCTTGCGTACACATTTATCAATATTTCTGATAACATCGTCAATGATCATCATAGATATTTCGGGTATATTAACAAAGAGGAAATCTATATATATATTTACACATTATTCTTTCAATAATTAATTAATTTGACAATAAGAGAGGGTGAAGAAACAAATTAAAAATAATTTATTCTTCTTTTTTTTCATTTGATTTTGTATTTTATGCAACTATTATTAGCCGAGTCCTTGTTAACATCGACAAACGACACAAATATACTTGGAACTCATAAAATAGGACCATGGAGTGAAATTTTAGAGGATTGGATCGTTTCTGCAGCGAATCCAGGTACGTCAAGAGTATCTAAGGTAATGAAACTAGGTGACAAAGTGTTGACAGTGTCAACCAAAGGAACACCGAATAAGAGGGACGTTTCTGAGACGGATATTTATTTGTTAGGTAAGAATTTGATTGAAAAATGTATGAATTTATTGAAATAATACAGATTTATTTTCAGGTGCTATAGAAAAACTTGTCTACCGTGTGGATTACGTTGAAAAACGTTTGAGAAGAGCCGAAGAACTTTTGTATTACGTTATTTCTGGATCTACTTCTATCAAAGGTTTAATTAATTATTAATTTCAGTATAATTAAGACGATTACCTTTTATTTTTGTATATTTCAATGATTAATTTCAATTTTATAGAATCCTGTCCAACGAATTATACCAGTATTGGTAGATATTGCTATTATTTTAGCGATCGTGAATACGATTGGAAATCATCTGCCAGTCTTTGTCGAGGTATGGCTGGTCATTTGGTCGAATTCGAGACAATAGTAGAAAATCAGGATGTAATATCGCATATACAAGGAAATGCGAAATTAAAAGGAAAACATTTTTGGACGGGTGGTTTGAATCCTGGTCTTTTATGGATTTGGGCTGGTAGTGCAAGACCTGTACATAATGATACTAAACAAGCTGTAATTGGAAATGGCAGGTTATTATTATTTATTTCATTATTTTCTATCTTCTTTTTTTTTTTTTTGCTTTTATACCTTATCTAACATTTTTTTTATCTTTTCAGGTGTTTGAAATTATCTTACGATCTAGCGTCGAAAATTTATTCTTACAAGGGGGAGGAATGCGCGTCGAGACAAAAATTTATTTGCGAATTGACCACCGATGACGAATCGGCAAATAAAATTGAAAGAACTGCAAGAATATTATCCGATACAATTGGTTAAATTTAAGGATTTTTTTTTTTACTTATCTAGGATTATTTAATTATTTATCTATTATGCAATGTACCTCAAGAATATCTTCCTATATTTATTAACAAATTTAATTTTTTTATTAAAAAAATAATTTATTTGTTAAAATAAATAATGTATATTGATTTTACATCAATAGAATTTTGTTTTAAAATCTTTGTTGAGTAAACATTTTTGTTAATATTATCTTTAAGTATTTTATAGAAGCCTTTTTTAATTTTATTAAACCCTTATTATAAATAGTACCTTTTACTTTGTATATATAATTAATAATACTGAATTTAAACAATTATTATAAAAAATAAACTCTCTTTGTATTAAATAAATAATCATCTTACTTGGAAGAAGATTGAGAAGAAATCTTTTCCGAAAGTTTATTCGCAGCATGATGAGCAAGTATTAAACTTCGTTTCCAATCGTTGACAAAAGTATAAACTTCTTCACTTTTAATAATTAAACCACCATTTTTCACAATAGCATTTTTAGCTTTTATTATTTCATCGTTATCGATACCACGACAACAATCTTCGATAAGGATAACCTTATATCCAAGTTTCAATGCATCAAGACAAGTTTCTTTAACGCAAACATCCAATGCCAATCCACAAACGTATAAATCGGTTGCTTGGATTTTCGACAAAACACTCTCCATTTCCGAACAAGCTTCTTCATTATCTCTCGTGAAGACTGAATAAGCTTCTACATCTGGATTTTGACCTTTACATATCTTAAATACCGATAGAGTATATACAATAATTATTTGTTATATTTTAAATAGTAATAATAATAATAATAATAATAATAATAATAATAATAATAATGATTAATTTTAAATGTAAATACTTGTATAGATTTCGGTAATATATGTAAATCTTGATGTAATTCTGATCCCGGTGTGCCCATTACACAATGTTTCGGCCATAATGTTTGTTTTACGTGTGGTTTTAAAAATGTTACTTTATCGTATAATACAGCTTTTTCTTGTTTAATCTACAAATAAAAATAATATTTGACGTTGATGATGTATGTTACGCGTTGTGTTATTCTTTTATAACGCACGTGTAACGCATGTGACAGATTGTTTTTACACCTTTTTTACGATATTTTTAATGTTTTAAAATCTAATGAGAAATATTTAAAAAAAGAAATAAGAAGGAAATAAGCCAATGAAAAAATATGCTGTTATTTGATCGCGTCTTTTTCTGGATTTATGTAGTTTGAGCTTAATATTATAACATAAATGTTATAAAATTTGAGATATGCATACTTGAGACGTTGGATGAAGTTCTCGTAAATGAAGATTTTCGTAAAAACTAATATGATTTTCAGGATGATAATCCAATGTGTAAACAACTTTATTCCAATCAACTTTGCTCAATATATTATTGATCGGTTCTATTACCTCATAACCATCATGCTTACTCTTACAATTATGTAATGCTAATGATCCGTGAATAAAATCGTTTTGTACATCAACTACTACCAATACGTTAACAGGATTTACAATTGGTTGTATCCATTTTTTAAAGCATCTATAAAGAGGAAAAGTATTACATAAGTGTTGTATAAGTTCGAATAATACTCTCTAATTAGAACAAATTATTTCTACTTATGTCACCAAATGAGACAGACAAATAGAATAATGATAGATAATAACGTAGATGATATAATGATTAGTAATTACATATTGTTCTTTTGAAAAATGTTCATCTAATATGTTACATCTTTTATGTTTTTTTTTCTCTAACAAGATTTAAATCGTTTATATTTCCCGCCAAATTTGTCATTAATTAATCGTTAATATTTGAATATCCTTAAACGGGTAATTCTTTAAAATTCTTATTGTCATATTTATCTATACACTTATAGATTTTTCTATGAATAATATTAATCGGTAAACCAGTATTTAAATAAGGATTAATAAAACAAAAAGAAAAAGATCAATCTTTATCTTAAATTATTGATCATAAGTTTACACTTGACTACTTTCTTTTTTTATCGTTACTTTATGATCAATTTGTAATTCAAATTTTTATTTTTACAATGAAATTATGAATGAATTAAACATTGAAACGTTTGTAAAAAAAAAATCATCAAAAGAAGTAGAATGAATGTATACAGGTATATTTTATATATAAGAATAATATTTTGAAATATATCGTACGATACCTGTCCCAATCTTTTCCTTTCAAACCACTTTCTTCATTCGTATGAAGCTTTTTAAAAATGTCTTCAACTCTCCATTTATTATCAATAATTTCTTCTTCGAAAAGTTCTTTGCATAGGAGGATAAATTCTTGTTCATCCAGGACACCGTCTTCGTTAATGTCAAATTTTTTGAAAACATTATCAGCTGATTTCCAATTCTTTGGGTTCTTCATGTCGATAACGTTGATAAAAAAGATTTTGCGTTATTACAAATATCGCGAGATTGTTATTTGTTTGATTTTAATTGAAAATTTTTGAATAAAATTTATAAAAAGAAAAATATAAAAGGAAAGACAACTTTAATGAACACCGTTGGAAGACAAGTTACAAAACGATGTGTTTACGAACGTTGTATTCAAACTGACTGATGTGAGTTACCTTGTGCACTACCTTAAATACCATACAGTGTTCTCAACATAAAAATATGATCGATAACTTTAATCATTACGAAAACAATAATCATTTGAATTATTCATTTAAACATCACTTGAATTTTTAAAAAGGATAGTTAATATTTTAAAAAGATTTATATCGTGTTGCATATAATATTTTGTTCTTCTTATAAAAAAATCAATATCTTTCCTTTCATCTATTAATCAGCGACTTCTATAGTTTTTCTCGCGAATTAATATTTATTTGTATCATTTCATCATTAGAACATGATGAATGATTCTATTCTTATGATGATAAATATTTAATTACTTTTATTATAAGGAAATATGATTTAAGCATGAAGTATATATAAACTTATGTTTATTTATGCATTTACTTAATTGAATTTTTTATTTATTTCTATGCATGCGTTTATTACTATACGGTATGGATCAAATATTTAAATACTAAAGTTTAAGTACTATGCACCGATATGCACAATAGCAATAATACATTAACTGAAATATTTGATATACAATTTATGTACAATATATTTTATTTGTCATCGTGTTAAGACCATAGCTCTATCATTAGATTTTCTTTTTTTCATTTTTCTAATGGTTTATCAAGTGATAAACAACTTAATTTTGCACATATATATATACATTATTCAGATAATTTTAATTAAAAGTAAGCATGTTAATAATAATTTTGAAAAATATATTAGAGAGCATTTTACTAGTATAAACATTTAATCTTGTAAGTGTAATAATCTTCTTTTATTACACTTACTTTATATTAGATTAAAATTCTTACATCTTTGGTCAGACATTAACAAAAATTTTAAAATAATACAGAAGTAAAGAGTTACATGCTTTGTAATTAGAACTTTCTTTTTCTACTTATTCTTTCAATAAATATAATATTAAAAGTAACGTTTTAACTAGCTAAACATATAAAAAGGTTATGTTCACTGTTTTCTTAAATGAATTACAAATTAGTAAATAGTACAGTTTTTATGTATAATATAAAAACTGTGTATTTTTTTTTTTTTTTGTATTAACTTTATGCGTATAAAAATGAAATCCATTTTATAATCAACTTTGTCATTCTGTTTTACTTAAATTGGGAAATAGACGATTCCTTTCGATAATAATTTCAGTTGCAATCTTATTGACGAAAGGATTTTTAATTTTGTCTACCGATGATGTAAAAAATTCCTGTAATTGACCAGGTATATTATCTCGTTTCTCATATTCATACGCTTGCATAATTAAATCCAATCTGTCTAAGTCCTTTACGTATTGAGCTTCTGGAGACTCTTGCCTTTCGTATTCCTATATACATATACATTTATACAAAATAAAGATAATCATATTATAAAAAATAAATGACTCGTAAAGAAAATAAACTTACACGAAACATTTGTAATATAGTTGGCCCTTTGTCGCCTAAAAGTTGACAGATCTCTTCCATCGCAACATCTTCTCGTTTATGTTTTTCTTCAGGAGTGACACCGCAGTAGGGTGTTATATCCCCGACAATGCATTCAGCTAAATCATGAATTAGTGTCATTTGCAATATTCTAAAAATAATATTACAATGTACTTCCTATTAGTAAATCTTGTAAATGGTGTATCGAATATGGAATGCTCAAACAGCGAATAATGCTGAATTTTCCAAAGATAGGAATAAGAAAATCAAAAAGAAAAAGTAAATGAATTTCTTACTTGCTAGTATCTAAATTATCCTTGCTATCTATTAATAATGAAAGAATAGCCATCCTGTACATATGTCCTGCTATTGTTTCTGGATCAGGAATGTTTTTTTTTACCCATCCTGTTCTTTTCATGTGCTGAAACAATATAAAATAGGTTAGGTAAGTTGGTTATTAGATAATTAAATCTATAAGACGAGAAAATGTTTGATTTTAAATGGCATAAGCGTGCCACGAACAAAAAGACATTTATCTATTTTATTAAACATATTATAGAATGTTAATGTTCACATATTGTAAACAATAAACACATTAGATTGACTTTAATTATTTAATAATTATTACCTTAAGGCGTCCAACCAATTCCATAAATTCATGTATTTTCTTCACTTCCATATTTCTTACCTTCTGAAAATTAGCACCAAATTCAAAATGAATTTATATAACTACAATGTAAGATACTGAGTTGACGAACGATCGCTGCTTTAAATTTGTGTCATAAGGAACGATTTTTTTCGATAACGATTGGTCGATTTCCAACTTTCGATAACGGTATCATTCGATTGGATGATTAATTTTAAACTCTAATTAGCGTTCAAAATTCGTTTATTATTTTAATATAAAACAAATTCTAAGATTGTTATACTGATTATTATCATTTGTAATATTACAATTAAATAATTATTTATGTTACGATTAATAAATAATTATAATTCTTTAAGTATATATTGTTAAAGATGATTTTATTTATATATTGACAGTTTCTCTTGTTTCGACACAATTAAAGGTTAGCATATCTGTTAATTAAAAAATGTTAACAAATTATATGAAATCTAGCAATGTTTCTACTGATTTATCAATATGTAATTTTTTTATATAAATTTGTTTTAGATCATTACAAATAATGACAAGGTATAAAATTGAAATAGTATTTTTAATTTCAGACGTTAATTATATTGTTAAAATTATTTACTTATGCTCTGCATATGGCAGTGTTTTCAAATATTCATAATACACATGAGGTATATAAGGTAATAATTACTTCATTTATGATACGAAACTTTGTAACTTAACTTTCTGTTAATAATAATGCATTTATTATATAGCGAATATTCTATATCGAAGGAGTATATATATATATATATGTATATATATGTATATATATGTATATATATGTATATATATGTATATATATGTATATATGTTTCTTTAAAATCAATTGGCGTTGTTCACCGACAAAGAATTTAGTCTATAGATGGAATGCGGTTTTGGACATCGTCCAAAAAGTGAAATTTTGTCGATATTTGATAAATCTATGCACAAATCTATGTATTTTTCTTTCTATATGATAATGTAAACATTCATATATAATCTATTATACAAATCGAACATTTAATAATCCAATAATAACAAAATTTATATAAACGATATGTGAAATACCATGGTATATATTCAATGACCTTCATACTGTTAGTGTGTAGTCGTGCATATATAAATTTCCGCAATGACGCGCGATTAGGCGCGTACGATTAAGCAAAGAAAGTATATACGATGGTAATAACGTGGGTTATTTAGTAACACACGTTCGATACAAACGCTTTTCTGCTCATCATCTATAGGGATACCTTAATCAATCGATAGAAGAAGAATACATGATGTTGTTTATCATACGAAGAAATTTCTTTCATCTTCTTCTTTTTCTTCTTCTTCTTCTTACCCTAAATATGTTAAATGAAACTAATTCAATTCATTCAGGTATTCTTATTTTATTTAATATATATTTTTTTATCTCGATCGTTTGACGAATTGTTTTCTTTTTTTCTTTTTTTAAATTAAAATCAAATAAACAATACTATTCAAAAATCAGATTTCTTTACAAGTTCATAAATATATACATAGTATGTATTTACGTACGCAGGACTTGGATACTATCTTCTCAAATTATAATCAATAGATAACCGTCGGAACGGCGCCAAAACTTATTTTTATTCTCTTCCAACGATCCATTTCCTGTAAAAGACGATACACAAAATTCTCTTACATTTAATAGATTGACAAACATAGTTTCTTCGAATAATCAAACCTCTTTTTAAAATGAATCTAATAAATTATATTAGAGAAAAAAAATATATGAAAACATCAACTAATATGTATATATATATATATATATTGTTTGTCCCCAGACGATAATCCAACGATTCCGAACGAATCGTAAATTTCATCAAGGTATGGGATCGAGCTAGTAGGTATCATTGAAACATCGATCAGTATAGCTGTCCAATATTTTACAGGACGGTAACCATTGACGGTATACGGTTGACGTGATAAACCATTCCAGTGACCGATCGATAAGCGAATGTTATTAAGCGTAGAAGAAGATTGGTTTATTATAAAACCAAATTTACAAACCATTAAACCATTTTTTCTACCATAGGAAATTTTCCTTAATTTATTCAACAAATTTTAACGATATCGATTTGAAATCCATGGTATATATATATATATATATATATATAGGTATGTATATATAATACGATTACATATATATATATATAAAACACACTGTTTGATTTTCCTAGAAAGAAGAGAAAAAAGAAGAAGTTTTTCTAGGCAAATATCGTCAATTTTCTCGTTCACGTTGTTTAGAAGAATTCACTCGAGAAATCTTCGAACGTCCCCAGTATCCCCATCGGATACTACAGAGACGAAGTTCAATGGAGGGTGAGAAAAGAGAGAGAGAGAAAGAAATAGAAAAGGGTCGACAGCCACGAGGTTTCATAAAACAAAGGAGAAAAAAAAAAGTGTATGTATAAAAGATCCTACGGACTAGTTCTCTTTTTTCCCCTTTTTCATTTTGACTCACTCATTATACATGGAAACCTATTGAAATGGGAATACGCGTGTAGGTACCATCGCATAATAAATTTTGTCAAGTATTTTTTTCAAAACATTTTCTTCTTTCAATTATATTTTGTATTATTTTTATATCAAGAAAAGTGATCATTGAAATATCGTTGAAATCAATCTAAAATAAATCAACGAATCTTCCATGTATAAACAAAAGAAAAAAGAAAAAGGGGGGGGAAGATAATTACAATAAAATATTGAAATTATTTTGTTTAAAAAATAAATTGTAGGAAAATGATCTGAGAAGAGAATCTAACGTATCTAATTGCAAGTATTTAAAGGAAGAATTCCGTCCGTTATCTGCGAGAGTTTTCCTGCGTCACTGTCGATGGCATGGGGGATGATGATTTGGAGGGTGTGGATATAAAGAGAGGGAGAGAACACTGAGAAAGGGGGGTGGTAGGGAAAGAGAGAGGGTTTGACGCCGGCGCGGCGGGTGTCGTCTCTCGTAGACTAAAGGGTCGCTAGGGCAGAAGAGGAAGGGACGCGTGCAGTTGTCGCGAAACCTTTCGCAAGTATTTGCGTCCTTCGGTGGTTGTGTGTGGTGTCCCGTGGTGTTGTGCGTTCCCCATGGTGCGTCCTATGGAACTTTTTATTTTCTTACAATTATCATAAGAAATATATTTAAACGAGTTAGATTTCAAGGTTTTTGTTTTTCATTGATAAAAGGTTTACTCTCTCTCACTCTCTCTCTCTCTTTCTCACACACTTTCTTTCATCATGTCAAACGATTTTATCACGGACAACGCCATGAAGTGGACTATTGTTTCGGTAAAATATATTCACATTATTTCATTTTATCTATCAATTATTCTATTTCCTTTGTATCTTTATTTTTCCTTCTAGCGATTGATTCATTTTCTTGTTTTTTTTTTCTTTTTTTTTTTTGGAGATATATAGTTATTTGTATTCGTCGTGGTAGAAATGTCGAAGGTTTTTTTTAAAAGAAAATATTTCTAAAGAGGAAAAATATTGTTGGATCCATTCGGTATTGTTTGTTACATTATTATTTATACGTTGGGTTCTATTAAAATTTATAATACGCGCGCGCTACTTTTCTCTCTTTCTCTCATAAATACATTATTTTCAGTGAAGATGGGCGGGCCGATGGGAATCCTAGTTATTTGAGTTCCTCGTGAGGCGTGTTCGTCAGATGGTTCCGTGTCTTCTTGTGTAACTTCATGAGATAGGAAAATAATGTAAGTTTAGAAATTCGATAGATGAATTTCAACGAATTTCGTTGCTCACCTAATATACAAAGTTATGATGCAACGTAACTTTGTATATTTAATTGAAAGATCGAAAAAAAAAATATAATACAATTCTATTTAATTCTGTAATAAAATGTAACTTCGTTAAATTTCTCTGTTTTCTTTTTTTTTTTTTATATTCCGTTGTGTTTCTTTTTTTTTCCATTATTAAAAATTTATTTCTTTCTAAAACGACATCGTTTAAACTGAATAAGAATCCTTGGGAATACTACTTTATATAAATCTACAGCATCGAACTCACTGTGTATGCTAAATAACACGAACACTGTCTCTCTCTTTCTTTTTTTTTTATTTTTTCTTTTTCTCTTTCTTTTATACTTTTTATCAAATGATCTAATATAATCATGATGCATTTTAAAATTTAATAAATAGAGTTACATGTGAAAAAGTTTCCATTATATTTCTTTTTTTTTTTTATTTTCTGAAATCTTAAATCCTCGTTAAGAATATAAAAGAGAGACTATATATTTAAAAAATAAAAAAACTAATTGTAAGAATAGAATATATTTTTTCTCGTGGATGTTGTTTTATAAATATAAAGAGGAAAAATAAGTGACATAAGTCTGTAGATTATTATTGGTCCTGTTTTCTAGCTGACGTCTTGGAAAGTTTGTCGGTTATCGTGATCCACGGGATGACCCTCCACCTTTGTACGAGCAACGAGAGAAGACAAATTCTCGTGTAAGATATAATCGCGTGATATGTCACGATTTGGATACTGATGTATAACCGTTATACAACTTCAAGATTGTTTTGATTATTCGACGATGAATCGGGAAAACGAAGTGGTGAGTTTCCTACGAAAAATATTTAAAAATATAATTTAAAGTTGCGATAGAAAAAGATTCTTTTACAATAATTAATTGATCGATAAAATATTTTCTTTTACCGTAATTAGATTGAAATAGTTCGATAACGATGAATTTACTCGATGTATTTACCTTAGAAACATTGCGTTATCGATCATATCGTATAAGTATTTTTCCTTGGGTATAGAACATTTTATTTTCTATTTACAGCAACAACCAGTTTCTCAAACGTTTTGCGGAGCGTTGCAGAAGGAACCAAATTGCAAGTGTTTAGTACTTTCTGTATTGATATATGGATGCCTCGCTGCAGTTACATGGTGTAGATGCGCCAATGTTACCAAGGTATGATTTACAATAAATAATAACATTTATATTAGTATTAAATTATGTTCAATCAAAATTTCACCGAATGCAGTTTATAATTAAATTTGTAATACAATAAATTCGCGAACTTTTTGGTTTTTATTCTTAAAATATTCAAATACATATATATATATATTATTATTATTATTATTATTATTATTATTATTATTATTATTATTATTATTATTATTATTATAAAAGGAAATGTATATTTGTAGGTTGTGATCAATTTCTCTAAGTACCTCATCAAAAGTACTAAACACGTGTCTCCTTGTGACGATGGTTATATATATATTCCAGTAGGTGTATTAATAACATAGCAGTTATCTATATATCCATTATGATTAATGTGCATAATTAATTCGTTGTTGTATTATTGTAGGTTGCCTTTATGGGAATGCTTTATCTCGTATACCTTGTGGAGTGTTACCATTCCCCGATTAGAATCGATCTGTCCCACGCGGAGAGCCAAGACTGTGTACTCATGAAATTAAATCAACTGAGGCTGGTACAACCTACTATCTGGTGGAAGGCCGTTTCCTATCATTATGTACGTAGGAAACGGCAAATCACCCGATATAGAAACGGAGACAATTATACGACAACTCAGGTAAACGGGGTAGCGTGAAAACGAATAACAAAAAAAAAAGAAAACAGCTGCTTTAAAAACGAACAAGATAAACAAACCAAAATACAAAAAAAAAAGAAACACAAAACCTCTTCAACGATTTTAATAACCGTTGTTATAAAACATTTGCTAAAAGCGTGTCCCATTTTTTTTTAAGTAAATAAACTTGGTATATATATATATATGGTGTTAATTAATTTGTCGGATTAGGTTTACTACGAAAGAGTTAACACTCACGCAGCAACTTCCTTTTATTACTACGATTATTGTGGGGTGAAGGATATCAGCAAGGAACTGGTACCCGATCAAAAAGTACCTATCACGAAAATTGCATTGACCAAGGGCTTCGCTTTTTCAAACATGAGATCCGCGACTGAGTTCGAGGAAGCCAGGTCAAGGTTCTTCGCTGAACAAGTACGTTATTTCATGATTGATCGAATAATCTATTTTAAAATGAATTATTTTGTACTTTCGCTTGTAATAGGAATTAAGGGATGATTATATGGAAATGAGAGAAGGTTTGGAACTTGGTTGTAATCTAAATCCCACCACTTTAGTAGCCGTCCTTGGTAAACCATGGTTTACCAATCGTTACGTTTATTGGTGCCTTAGTGCTCTCCTACTTAGTTGGCCCTTGAGAGTAATCATAGAGTACAATACGCAATACGCCGACTATCAGGTAATATATTTACATTTATAATAAATTACTTTAGAAATAAAAAGTATAAGATTTATCGATGATAATTTTAGGTGACTAAATTATTTGGAGTGAACTATGATACTCCGATAGGTGCTGAACCAATACGCACTTCCACCAGTCAATTGAGTCAGCCAGGATCCTATATGTTAGCACCAAGTTATAGCGAAGCACTTTTAATGGAACCGGCTGCACAATCTAACGTAGAAAATCGACAGATCGAAACAGAATCAGTAATCGAATCCGAGATCGATATGGGAATAGTTCCTAGTTATTCGGAAGCTTTACTTTATGAAAGAGCTGAATTAGGATCTAACGTACCTGGAACATTCTCGTCATCGATTCAACAAGAAAGAAAAGATCTCAGAGTTGAAATCGAACCAACGTGCCAATGTCCTTGTCATAAGATTTCTAACGAGTTAGAAAATGTACAACAAACAAATCTAATCGCCGATCAAGTAGAAAATCGTGACTCTAATTACGTTACTTTGGATTCTACCTGTGCTGCTAGCAGTAGTAGTAGTTCGACGTGCCATAACGATATTTCAAACGATATAGAATTTGTATCATGTTCGTGCAGTCAGCAAAGTCCATACACGTGTTCCAATATTTTGGACAAATCTAATAATGTTAATGATGTAAATTATAATAATGGTAGAACTATGAAAAAATTAGTTCGTCCTTCGCGAAAATTTAAACGAGATATTTCCGAGCCAAACTTGCGTTTACGTTCGGAAGTAGGTCAAGAAGGAAATTCTTCTTCTTCTACTTCGAAAACAAGTTATAAAAGTTTTGAGAATATTTTAGAAGAAGATACTACTACGAGTTCGTGGAATAATGTTTCTAGAACGAAATTGGATAATCCTAGAAATCATTTTCAAACGGTTATAGATGAAGAAATTCCGCCTACTATAACGAACGAATCTATTGATAACAATGTTAATCGTGAATCAAATAATGCTGAATCGAAAGGTGCAATACCAAAAAGATTTGTTGAACAACAACAGAGTACGTCGCGTTGCAGGGTGACCGTGAATCCAAGGTCTGACGAAGTTCGTAGAAAAATACCGGTATCTAGGACTTACTTCTGTTTGAAATCGATACTCAAACAAAACAAACGTCGATATACTTTAATGACTACCGCACAGGAATTAGAACACGTTGAGGATTGGGAAACCGTAAGATTGGATAGAAGTTTTGAGGAACTTCGATCAGACAATTCGCATTTAGAATGTGATAGAAGAAATAGTGAAAGCCCTCAGATCGTTGGGTCTAACGAAGAAAAAGGTCGCACCACCTGTTTGTCGCGTGAGAATTTAAATAAAGATAAAGAACATCTACAAAATTCTACCATTGGGAAAGATAAATCATCACCCACCGAACAAAAATACGATTATTCAAGGTGAATTATTTTTTTTTTTGTAATACATTACATAGATTTATTTTCGATTAATTTGTTATTTCTCATGTATTTATTTAATTTTGTTTGTATCATTCGCAGAACACTAATCTTTGCTAGCCCGATTCAAGAAGTATGTCCTGACGATCCGTTCGGTGGTAAGAACGTGGTACCAACAACGAGAAATCAAAGTTATCATAGCGAAGAAAATTCATCTTCAAACGTTCCAATGTTAGTTAAACTTAGACGATCGTTCACCGAACGAGAGGGTATACATAGACGTCACAGGGACATACGTAAAATTCACAGGCGTCGTACTTTTGCCGTCGACGCTGATTATTCGTTTCCGTTGGTCGAACCTGAGAATTACGAGTCATCAACAACAACTACTAGTGGAAACGTATACGTGCCTGGTTACAAAAATGGGGTATCTTTTCCACCCTATGATGGTTTCAACAACGTCGACAGAAGAACAACGTTGAACATAACTCAACCAATCGTATTGAAAAATGATATTCGTCCTACAAGCAACACCGAAGGATCATCTTCTTTCGTAGTAAAAGAACATTTTAATGACGACGACGACGACGATGATGATGGTGATCGAGAAAACGATGAAGCTTCCGGTTGGTCGATTGAAAATAATATTCCATCAATGAAAAACAATCCTAGTACATTGACGAGATCATTAACCGAACGAAGAAATAATACTAAGGATTCTCGTCGTAGTTCAAATTTACGAAGAAGCTTTACTGGTAGAGTAGACACAATTAATTGCAAATCGATTAATGGTAAACGTACCAACCTTAACATGGAAACCTCGTTGTAACATGTCAATACGATTAGCTCCTTTTGTACTACGCGCTACGTTCACATATACATACTATAAGGTTGAAGGAGGAGGATGGGGCCTTCTTTAAACAGTAGAATATATAGTAACTAACAATTGTTCTTCAAGATTGTCCGAGTTTTTTCTTCGAACGTTCGATTTTTAAGCAGATATTAACAATACAAATGCACGATCGTATTTTGGAAAATGAAAGAAAAAGAAGAACTTATTCCGTCTTTTTAATGTGCTAAGTTTGAAGATAACGTAATATACGCTTCTCGATTTGCAATGCGATTAGGTGAATATTAATTGTTAGATAGGGAAATGGTCTTCTAATTCGAGATAATCAATGAGATATTAACTCGAGTATAGATTTTTTGTACATGTAAAAAATGGGAGTCAAGTGCATTGGCGATACGTAAAAGTAACGCTGTTGTTTTGCTAATATTGTTGTTGCAAAAGGTCAAATGTAACGTTGATATTAGGGTCAATTCAAAGTTCCTGCGTTTTTTCTTTTTTTTTTTTTTTCAATCAACATTATGCAGTTTGCAAAACAATCAAAACGCATGGAACTTTTGGTTTTCACCTTAATATAAAAATAAACGCTATTATAATTATCTAAGAGATACGAATGAATAATCGAGCGTGCGTATTTTGGAAATAGTGTGCTTTTTGAAATATTAGCTAGGATATACAAAATGCAAATGCGTCGAGTGTCAATTATACGCGCGCACAGAGAATAATACCGTATATAGTCATTGGCTTTATTGGCATTTCAATTAGGAACAATATATAGTGCATCATTGATCACATACATCATCACATGGCACAAGTTAATTAACTCGTAATCGATTAATTAATGACAATTAACATTTAAATTACCGTCCTAAATCTTTCTTGAATACATGTATTTAATTGAAACATACACACACGCACGTAAAAAGGGCTCCCCTTCGAAAGTGTCCTCGAATTTGGTTCTTTTACTTTTTCATTTCTAAGAACGAACGATAATTTTTAAAGGTTCATTTTTATATATACTTTCGTAAGTTACTGTACACACGTCATCCCATTTTAGATATTGATTATCGATAAAGTCTTTTATAAACACTTCGCATCAAATTAACATCATAATCTCGTTTGTTATTTTCTACGAAATATATAACATGACTATATTCAATGTTTTTTTTTAATAGGTAATTACACTTGAGTACACTTTCAAAGAGGAGGAAAAAAATAATATCTTTCACTTAATATTCATAACATTAACGATTAATTATTATTTAACATTTTGTTATCGAATTGCGTTTATCAGATAAATTTATTTTAATAACATTTTGATCAATCGATCCGATGCGCGACGAGAACAAACATTTCTTCGATAAAGTACACACCATATATTATTGTGATTTTAGTTTAGCAAGAAGAAAAAAAAAAAGAACAAAAATAATCCTATGTACGCGAGCCGTAAAATAAGTTATTTTTTCTACCGATATAAGCGATACATTATTATTATAATATTCGTCGTTGAAAAGGATTAATCGCCGATGATATTTAAAAAAAAAAAAAGGGGGAAAAAAAACCAAAAAAGATATTGCCAAATTATTAAATATGCATTAGGGTATTATAAATTATATATACCCATACTAAACAAAAAGAAAGTGTTTTACACGCAGTATTCAATCGATATTAAATGCCGAATATAAAATATTTTTACTTAATAATTATCCACCGTAAATATAAATTCATATTTATAAATATTATTTTAATAACAAAAGAATGTTTGAGATAAAACGATTTTTAAAATAATCGTCTCCCATTACTATATAGAGATAAAAATATTTTCGGCAATATCGTAACGTTCGTCGATGTAAACAAAAATATATTGTTCTAAATAATAGTACAATATATTTTTGTTTACATAAGTACATAACAATGGATATACAAATCGTTCGAATTATTCCAATTACATACAAGCGCATATATTATTATATATGATCACCAAATGTTCGGACAACGATCTTATAAAAACAATTTGACGATTCCGATTTTGTACAAACAGAATACAAAACAAAACAAAACAAAACAAAACAAAACAAAACAAAACAAAACAAAACAAAACAAAGAAAAGATTTAGAATCGGAATTGATAAGACGGTACAAATTTCGTTCGTTTTTTAATCGAACGGACACAATGCCATTTATAATTCCTAAAATTATTTTTATGCAAAAGACCAAATGTGCAAAGTTTTCAAAGTATTACCATCTAATATATATATATATAGAGGATGTTTAAAATGATAAGTGTTTCAAGATTTAGTAAGTGTATTATCTAACTCATTAAGCTTAGCAAGCATTTTTTTTTTTCATTCATTAAAAATATTGCTTACTCAGCTTAACGAGTAAAATATATATCTTTCTAATTTTTGGAAAACTCTTTTTCATTTTAATACATCCTGTATCTATATGACTATAAATATATAACGACATCAAACTTATTGAAAAATTAACGCGACAACATGATTAACAACAGGAACAACAATACACAGAATTAGTTTTCTGCGAAATACATAGTCTTCTACAACAACGCATACAAACAGATAAGAAAAAGAGAGATAAAGAGAGAGAGAGAGAGAGAGAGAGAGAGTTTTTGTGTGTTATTTGTAAATGATTTTACGCGCACGCGTCTTTTAAAATTATGCATTATTATAAACGTTTGAAATTACGAAGCTTATACGTATGTGTATTTACGGATATAATTATAATAACAAAACAAAACGAGCAGTTAAATATTAACGTAACATTAGGCTTAAGATTAGTTTTATTTGCGACAAGCCAATAATTATTGTATAGGTATATATATATATAGTATACTATGTATAGATACATTATCGTTCACGTAATTATTTGAAATAATTGAAATGAAGAATTCGTAAGATTCGTTCGAATATTTAAAATACGATAATGTCTATACATATATATTTATAATGTTTAAAAATGTGATATATAAACAATCCCGTACTAGTTTGGTGGTACATAATTGAAATAGTGCAGCGTCGCTTTTTTAAATTGCGCACAATCATGGACGAAGTAGAAAGAAGTTATATAATTCCCCGCCCGTCAAATAATTATTAAGCATTATTATTTTAAAATCGTTTTAAAAAGGAATATAATCATTCAAATAGGGCAGATATTCGATACATTTTGCGTGGATGTTTTGTTTTTGTTTTTCCTTCTTGTAAGTACAATGCGAATGTAATATAAGAATAGGATAGAAAGAAAAAGAATACCTTTCAAGCCGATTAAATTGAACATTTTGTTGATAAAATGAATTTCTACCTTAATTAGTACAGTATAAACAATTAATGACAAGAAAAACTCTATTTTTCTTATTGGCAATGAATATAATAAGTGATCTCATATATATATATATATATATATACATAAATGTAATTATATATAATGTGCATTAATGTGCACCGAATGAATATTATACGATGCCGTTAAGATAATAGAAAGTAAAGCTTGATTGTAAGAAAACACACGGTTAAGTGCATAGTGGCAATATAGAATTAAAATACGAGAAATAAAAATAGATAATTTACATGATTTTTTTTTTTTTTTTAATATATATTCGATATTTAAAATTATATCGAATGTTGTACTTGTGTAGTAGGACTTGTTTTACAAGAAAATTGATAAGTCGATGATTAGAAAGAGAGAGAGAGAGAGAGAGAGAGAGAGAATAATAAAAAATTAACATAATTTGTGATTGTTACAGTTCATCTAATAGCAGACAATCTAATAACGTATTTTGCTGACGAGCGGGGAAGTTTCGTTAATTAAAAGATAAAGAACAAACAATGTATTACCCATACCGTCTTAAAAAAGTGCTCTTCTAATCGACAAACTGTGTTTTAGAGCAAAGCTGATACGTGATAAATAGAAAAACGTTAGGGTGCAACAAAATATACTAAAAATAAGCGTGCTTTTTTTTTTCTTTCTCTCGAGATATAATGCATCTGTAACTAACGTGATTCTCTTGCTATATAAAATATAGTAATATTATTATATTATAATGTTATTAATGATATACAGTGAATTATACTGGTGTAAAAACAAACTATGGTTATAATATAATAAACGTTGACATATTTAAAAGGTTACTGTGCTTCGAATTGATTTTAATTTAGATACCGCGAAAGCGTAATATGAATAAACGATAATACATAATATATACTTATATTTTTGAAAGGAAACAAATACAACAATAAAAAATAAGAAACAGAACATGCAATTATTTGGATAAAGCTATGAAATGCGATGCAAAATTAAGCGTACCAAAATTATATCTTCTTTCCTGACTATTAGACAAGTTAAATACGGTTCACGCAGCATTCATATTCACACTCGTACACATACGCACTCACAATCGTACGGAAATGTAATACCATTTAGACTGTGCATTGTGAAACTATCTTTTCTAACATTTTTATTCTTTTTGTCCGTAATTCTAAATCTTTTTAATGCAATCAACAAAGTAACAAACATATTCATTGTTTTTGTGCTAATTTTTCTTTTTTTTTTTTTTCTAAACAAAAAGTGTCTTATTTAACTATACAATAAACATCTATATCAATAAACGTCTTATGCCTGCGGATACGTTAATAAACTAAAAGATTTTTCTTTTCTTTTCTTTTTCTAGTTTTTGTTGCATAATTTATGATTAATGTATATAAATATAGAAATTTAAAAGTTCAGGTAGCTGTAGAGGGGCCACTGAAAAACAGAAGATTTATTCGGAATTTAATTGTTGTTTTCAACAAATCAAGAAAATATAAGAAACAAGAAAGTCGCAAAATCTACGTATCATATTTAAATATACATGCAGACAATATTAAATGTTTATTCATACAGATTTCTTATTTTTTTACGTTTTATTAACTTATCATAGTTCTCCTTTTTTTTTTGTATTTTCTTTTCTTCTTTTTTTTCCATTCGATATCACTGATTAACCTATAGTAGGCGGGTACGAATACTAATTTTTATGTATAATATATACGTGTAGTATATGCGTGTATAAATATACATATATATACATATGTATATATATATATATATATATATATATATATATATATATATATGTTTTTTGCACAGTGAACACCTTGTCTTATGTGAGAAAAGACAGGATATAGGACACTTTATTTAGTTGGACTAGCAATATCAGCAGGCGATTATGACGAGCCAGTGCACAACAAATATACACTCAATAAATCCTTAATTTAACAATTACAACTAATCCTTCGTAAATCCTGGTCTTGTGTAGTATACTCGATAATAGAGTGTTTTACTTCGCCATAGTGAATATGAATTGTCAAATTTTAAAAGATATACTCCCTGCAATCAAATAATAAATATGAAATTAATGTTTCTAATCGAACTAATTATTATTAATAAAAATGTATGATTCATTACATTTACCTGTCCAGGATATTGATGACTTCCAGCATATACTTCTTCCTGAGAATCTCTCCTGTATATCTTAATGATAAAAACATGCAGATTTAATGAAAAATATTGTTATTTAAAGAATTTTAAAATAGAATCAAATGTTATGGTATACTTACAGGTACTATTACGCTTATAGGTGGTGTGGTATGTTTATATTCAACTCTATTATTTCCATTTATTCCTCCACTTTCTAAATCATCTTGGGTTTCATATTCTTCTTCTTCATCTTCGTCATCTTCTGATTCGCTAATGTGAACAGATACTTGATCCGTATCCGACTTAGACCATTCAAAGTAAACTCCAAATCCAATATCATAGCCATCGGTAGCAAATTCCCAAAATAAACATGAACCATCTTCATGTGTTGGCACTCTTACAGTAACAGTTTCTCCATGACCAACCTTTATAACAGCGTCACCACCGTCCTTTCTAATTGTTTCTTTAAATTCCTCCACACCTTTTTTCGTCCACATTTCAGCAGGGGCAATAGGTGGCCAATCTTCTTGTAACTCATCCGAATCATCATCTTGTAAAAGTGCAGATTCATTTTCCGCTATAGGTTCCTTTTCAGTATCTTTATTTGTACCGTCTAACTCATTTGATTCTTCTGTTTTTTGATCTTCTATGACTAATTGATTTTGATGTAATTGTTGCATATATTGATGATAATGTTGTTCTTGCAATTGTCTAATCAAAACAGCTTGCTGTTCTGGATTTCCAGGATATTGTTGTTCGGCATAAACTTTAAATTGATAATATGTTTGTTGATTAAGTGCATCTTGTATTTGTCTTTTCTGCGATTCCAATTTTAATCTTTCCTCTTCTTCTTTCTTTTTTTCTTCTGCCAATTCTGCCAATCTTTTTTCTTCCTCTATCCGTTTGATTTCTTCCTCTTGCTTTAAACGCTTTTTCTCTTCGATATCTCTCTTTTGTGCTTCTACTACTGTTTTAAATAAAGGACACAATTTATCTAATAAAACTATAAATCCTTCCATTGCTTGTTCCTTAGATATATCTCCTAAATTTTGCCATGCCAAACGTCTATCTCTACCAATAACATCTAAAACTCCTAATGGTGGTGCATTTTCAGCGGTACATTTTCCATGCATTACTTGTTGCGTAAATGCAACCAATTTTAATTTATCCTCGTATGAAAGGTGAACAGCTTTTCCTTCTTTCTCTGACAAAGAAATAATCAAATATTAATGATTACGTTAAAGATTTATTCATAGGAATATGCGTTTGGAAAAAACGATAGAATAATCATTAATTCAATTAAATACGATGTATGAATCTTTTTTAAATATTCTGTTCTTTGATTCTTTATCTAATTCAACAATGTAATAGCAAAACACAAGAAAATAACGATAATGATTTATTAAGTAGATTCGTACATACCTTTATAGAAATTGAGTGCAATTTTGTAGAGCTCTCGTGTTTCGAAACCCCATAAATGTGGTTCATAAATCTCTCCAGTTTTGATGTCATCTTCATTTTTGTTCGAATCACTTTCCGAAATATTTAATTTTTCGATGTTTTTCTCTACTAAAGAAACAGGCTCATCGGTAGCCGCCATTTGTAACTCAATGACACGTCAATGAACAATGCTGCCATTAGAATTCTAACCTTATTGAAAATATAGTCGTGGTTATAATCATTTTTAATTATTAAAAACATAAATAATATAATAATATAACTAATGAAATATAATTATGCGAATAATACTTGGTGCATATTTAAAACCCTACCGCATATAGTTATCAGTAAACGATTGACTATGATTCTTTAACCAATTTTAATTATTTTATGTGTATCCATTATATTATTATATGTCTTTGTATTTATTCAGTCAATGCAATTACATTTCGAAGAAAAATATCAATAAATAATTGTTACAATAAGTTATTATCTATTGCAAGAAACATACGATAAAATAATAAACAATTTAAATGAAAAGATAAAAGGCGCCTTTTCCAAGGATCGCTATGATTGGCTGACAATAGGTCATATTTTGAGGGCGCTGTTAACAAGGCGACGGTGGCTCGATCTAGCGGAATATAAACCATATGAAATTCGTAAGGAGTGGGAGTAACATAGGGACGAGCGGAGAGTGGACGGCAGTACGGTTGATCGTCGGGTAGCGTTCGTATCGTTGTGTCGTGTGTGAAAGGAAACAACGGCAATTTCAGTTGTATTGAGAGAAACAGTGCGGACTCGAATTGGAACGTGCGCGCGCGTTAAATCTTATAATTTTTTCGGAGTGTACTATCTTTTCTCTTTCGACATGGTAGTAGAAGCTTACCGTTACACGCGTGACCTTACTGTAAAGATCTTTACACGATATTTTATTTCGGCGTGAAACAATAAGTGCCTTTTCGTATGGTTAAGTGTTACAAGCGTTACACGAACAGTGGATGGAAGAGAGCGTCATCGTTTATCTGGGATCGAGACAGAAGAGATTTTTCTTCGAAGGACGATTTGACAATACATAGTCGGTATTGCAAGGTTAGGTAAGTCGTTTTGCTTTTATTTCTAAATTTGTTATATTGTTTATTTTCTTATTATTTTATTTCTCTCTCTCTCTCTCTCTCTCTTTCTCTGTTTCTTTCTTTTTTTATCTGTTGGATTCCTTGTCAGATCCTGGAAAAGATGAGAGAATAAAAAATGAACTAGATATAGATATATTGATAAATATAGATAAGATAGATAAGAAAAAAAGAGTTGAAATAATTATTCATTGAACGTGAATAATTTGAATTATTTTATTTTATCTTTTAATTATCTGATCGCTTTTCTCTGTTTACATTTAAACAGATATCAAATAACAAGTTAAAATCTTGTCACTTTTTGTCACTTTCATTATTTTTTACTTACCGTATGTATATAAATGCATTTGTTGGTAGTATTTACTATAGTGTATAATTCATTCGTAGAATTATTCGCACGCTTCAATGTCGAGCGAAAGTACTCTTGGAAAAGTGGTTTCACGAGAAAATCAAACATTATTAACAAATCGAGAATAGATCAGATTATTTTTTTTATTTTGTATAACTCGTTCATTTTTCTTTCATCTAATCGTCAAGACTTCTTTATTTTTGATCGATGATAGTTTTATGTGAATATTTGAACGTTATTCGAATACACATATCAAAGGCTATTATTACGTAAATCAATTTTATTTGTTTAATCGATTTTACGGTGTGTAGAAACAAAATCTGTCATTGTTACGAGAAAAAAGTATAATCGTTTTCTATTTCCACGAATTTATTATTATTATTATTATTATTATTATTATCATCTATATGTCGGTGAAATAAAAATCAATTCAAATTTGTTCTATGATTTATTATACATTAAAAAAAAAAAAGAAAATGTTTTTAATCCACTCTTAAATATTATTTTTTACAGAATCATGATTACGTAGAATCGATTAAATCAGTGTTTTTAATTGACAGTACTTTTATTATCTCTACACGATAGTGTTCTCGATTTTGTTAGCATAACGTCGACGAATTAAGGTCATCTCTCATCTTCTTGGATTTATGTAAAAGCTATATGCGCTTATAAAAGTATCGCTGTTATAATTATCAGAATTTCATTATGATCAGATAATTAACGTTATATATATATATATATATATACTATATAAAAGATACACGTGTACAAGTGTATAATATATGTAAGTGTATATGCTTTATAATAAGATACTATAATACATAATAATTGACTTAACGACATTTAAACTGACACGAGATATCGTATTAATTAGAATCATTGAATAGTTATTAGTAAATGCAACTGAAATTTGGAATATTAGAATATGTATAAATAATACTTCGTGCAGTTAAAATAAGTAGATTAAAATGAAAGCGTATAAGTATATTTGAGGAATTTCCACGTTTAATATACAGGTTCTCTCAAAAGCTATTATTTTAACACTAGATATACTAGATCAGTCATTTAGACTGGTCAGGTTATTTTAATTCAAAATATCTACTTCATGTAACATTTGATTTCTGTAACTAATTAAGCATTTTGTTATTTAAAAATGTCTATAATAAATCTATTTATCTATTAAAATTAATTATTGTTAAAATTTTTTTTGTTATTTTTTAAAAATAAATAAAGACTGGAAGCCTCAAAAAGTATTTTTGTTTTTATACACCTGTCATTTTGACTAGTGTAGTAGAAATAGGTATATTGAAAATGTTGGTATAGATTTAGTGTTAATAAAATCAAAATAAAACAAACACATCGATATTGATTTATTAAATACTGTAAGTAATTAGAGTATCGTAATATAATGCTATTATTTCAAACAATAGCAGATAAAAATAGCAATTATTCATTTTTCATTTGGATAAACTAACTTTTGGGATACCTTGTATTTTCAACGTTAATTATAACAACCAGCATATAAAGTGTATATTACTTCGTTAATGATTTGCATCGTTAAAGTTTTAATAATCACTCGCGATTCATTTCAGCTATATAATAAAGATAATAAAGAAAATTAAAATAAAAAAGAAAAATAATAAAGAAAAATAAAAAATAGCTTTGGTAATTATTGTTTATCAAGTTCTCTCTTTCTCTCTCTAAATAATAATCGTTCTGAAAAGATAATCACGACTAATTCGTTGCATGTAGTCATTTTCAACGCAAATTCATGACAATGAAGTTTTTCTTATTTTATTTTGTTCTTTCCAAAACAATTGAATTCACTTGAATTAATATTAAAATATTGAAGAGGTAGAAGTAAGAGGATCGGAATAAATGAATTCGTGAAATTGTAACCCAATGGCGACAGCATATAAGTGCTAATTCCCTGTTGATTCCACAAGAAGCCAGTCTCGGTCAAAAATATCCTATTACGTGTGTACTACTACTACTACTACTAACTAACTATTACAAGTCTAGGTGTTTGCTGAGAAAGAGAACCACAGAGAAATATAATTAAAGAGAAAGAGAAGAGAATAGTTTATGTTAGAACTAGAATAGAATCGAATAGAAGTCTTTCAAGCGTTTCTGGCTGACTCGATGTGTCTGAATTATAAATCCCCACGAGGTCGTAAAACAAACGATTATAGGCGGATGTAACGCAATACTGTTGCGGCTGTGCAGCCTCTCAGGTCTGTCTATCTGTCTGTCTGTCTGTCTGTCTGTCTGTCTGTCTATGTCAGTATCTCTATCTCTCTTTCTGTCTCTCCCGTCTCCTACTTGGTTAGATCGTTCACAAATCGTTTCAATATTCTCACGTTCCTATGATGTATACATATACTATTTAAATAGTACCACTATACTATATGTTATATCGTTCGCGTGCCCGATGTATATATATAAGTCCATTTTAATTTATCTTTTGTTTGTTGTTGTTGTTGTAATATATTTCATGGTAAAAAATAATCAAAAAAGAAAAAATAAAGATGGACTTGGGTCGTTATCAATATAAATGACTCGTATTATTATACATTTATACGTTTGATACGTACTGTGAAATTAATACGATAAGTTTTATAATTTATGTATATATTTTTTTAATGAGACATCGTGAGAAATGATATTTTGAGATAATATTATAATATAATTAGGGTGTCCTAATAGTTGCTTTATTGATTCATTTAACACTAGATATACCAGACCAGTCATTTTGACTAGTCGAATCATTTCAATTCAAAATTTTTACTTCATGTAACATTTGATTTCTGTAAATAATTTTCAAATGTCTATAAATCCATATTGATCTATTAAAATTATTATTGTTAAATATTTTTTTTTGTTATTTTTTAAGAGTAAATAAAGACTAGAAGTCTTAAAATCATTTTTTTTTTATACATCACTCATTTTGATTGGTGTAGTAGAAATAGGTATTCTGAAAATGGTGGTATATCTAGTGTTAATTGAACTATTTTATTGTTAGATTTACATTTATATCGAGATATGTTTATGTATGATGTGTGTATGTACTAAAAATACGCGCGTAGTGGGCCACCATCATTTCAAAAGAGATAAACGAAGAAAATCAAATAAAAGGTACATCCGTTAGAGTAGTTTATATGTTTCTTATTCACATATGCAAATATATACAACGAGGAAACGTTTTCCGCGTTAAATTTGCTTTCCGATGTTCTTTCTCTTTCTATCTCTCTTTTTATTATTATTTTTTTTTCCCTAAGTAAAAGAGAATTTAACAACTTTGATAATAAATTAAATTTTGTTTTTGTTTAATACAGCGTGTAGGATTTTTATCGATGGTCTTTAATCTTAAGTAAAACGTATGATTTTTTTTTCAATTTATTGTTGTAGTATTCCAGATAACGCGTACTATCATTTATATTTTATCTTTCACATTACTAGCATGAATTATATTCCTAGTTATGGTTTCCTTTTTCTATGATTTACGTTTCGTATTTATATAAGATCATCATTTTTACTTCACATAACTTATCTATTTAATGCTTACATATATTTATTCTTGCTTGTTTTTGTTTCTTCTTTATTTTCTATTGATTTAGATTTTAGTTATTGAGATCTTTTTTTTTGATAACTTTTAATTTATATATATATATATAAATACTAGAGGTGTCCCGCCACGCGTTACTGTGGCTCACACAATCAGTTCGATACACACGCTTTAAATCAACGAATTACCTTATACCGCCATCTGTTAGAATCATGACTCTTTGTTAATAAACAAATAATTCGCGTTTAATAAAATAATATTGCGATTATAAATTGAGATATAAACTATCCTATCTTTCAAGTTGGATGAAACTGCACACTGTGTGCAAAATTTTATTAAAATCGGTTCAGTAGTTTAGGAGTCCATTGCGGACAAACAACGTGTGACACGTAATTTATATATATTAAGATATATATGTATATATTAATATATTTAATTATTAATCATTTTTACTCTCTCATCCATTCGTTGACACTTTTTTTTTTAAACATTGATTATTTTTATAAATACACATAGATATAAGATTATGTAAGTTATCTAACATTTTTATTCTCATTTGATCAACTAATTTTTATCTTAATTTCTTTTGTGTGCTGTTAGTTTTAAGTGTTATTTGTTTGCTTTTCAAATAACAATAATTAATAACGATAGAGAATAGAATTCTTAATGATTTTCAATAGCTGCTTTTGATCTTCTTTCACTTTAGTTTGTTGTATACAATTTTTATGATCAAAGAAAGATGATGGGGTGGGGTGGTGGTAGGAGGCACTTTCACCGTTTCAATTTACCTATAATATTTGTATTAACTTTTAAACGTATCCATCGGCTTCTAATTTTAAAGCAGCTTCGTATGTAGGTAAATCTATGTCGTTTTTATGATTATCATTTTTTTTCGCTTGACTAGTTTCCGAGTTAATTGTAGAAGCTTCTTCTTCGTTAATCGTCAATTCGTTCATTGGAACATCTGCTGCTGCTGTTGTTGTTGTATCCTTTTTATCAGCCGAGAATGGTAGACTTTGATGATCGAAAATAAGACTCTCGTAAGCCGGAGGTGGGCCTGGTGGTGTTAACGGACAAGGAAGTGCAGCTTGTGTTCCATCTTCCGGGTTCGTCATTGCTACTCTTTCCGGGCACTGTCACGTGCACACAATTAGTTAGTTTTAAATCGATAATTAAGTATGCTAGAGTATATATTCTTTTTTCTACTAGTAATAACAAAATCATTAGTTAGATTTCACCGTGATATGAGAATCCATAGTGAATACTTCGAGACTATGAACATCAGGCTCGGGTCTCCAATAATGAGAGTATTCTTGTGGTCGATACTTTTTCATATTTTTATGACAGCAATAACATATCACTATCAGTACCATGATCACTCCGCTAAGCATAGCTCTGAAAAATAACTGGTTATTATTCATTCCTTTAAATAATAACAATAATAATATTGTATTTACAATTGTAAACAAAGTCATTATATTTACCCTCCAAGTAAAATGTTAACTTGACCATGCAGGTCAGTTTCAAAGTGACCATTCTTTCCTGTGTTACCAATATCCGAGGTAATATTGTATCCCACTATATTCGAATGATCAGATTCGATAAACATTGTTTTACTATCATCGTTATTATCGTGAACTATATTGTTCGAATGATTTTGAGCGATTTGCACCGCGGCCAACACAGCTAATCCTCTCATAGTTTTTCCCTTTAACATTTCTATTCAGTCTTAAACGTATTTACAAAAATTTTGATAAGACGCATTTGATTTTTCTCTTTCCTTTTTTTTTTTTTACTTCGGGATTAATTTCGATTATACCAATCATCACAGTTTTGGCTATAACACGAAAGGCACAAGTCAGACTTTTATCTTCTTCTTCTTCTTCTTCTTCTTTTTATTTTCTATTTTTGATTATTTTCAAATCACGATAGTAGTATTTTTATTCGAATTTATCGAAGTACAAATTTTCATGAATTTATCATATCCTCGTTTATTATCATTATTATTATTATTATTATTATTATTATTATTATTATTATTATTATAGTACATCGTATTTCTTATTATTGATTTCGCGAATAAATTTATTAACACGCGACAATAAGATAATCCACGAATCGTCGTATCGTGATTCGTTCTTTTCTTCGTCATCTTTTTATTATTCATTAATAAAAATCTATTTTAATCTTCTCGATTTATCTGTAAAAAGAAAAAATAGACAATTATTAAACGAAGAATAATATATATATATATATATATATATATATATATATATATATATATATATATATATATATATATATGATAAATTTTTATTAACATACATCATTCCCTATTTCCGTAATTTAACAGAGTTGTTGTTTTCCAGGTGAAAAGAAAAATGATGCATGCAAAATGGATTTTCATGCATCATTTGCATATCTTTTTGAAAGAAAGAAAAAAAAATATATATGATATATTCGTCGTTTGTCGCTAAATGAATAATAGTATCGATAAATAACATTCGTTATAACGCGTTCAAATTTATAATACCACTTTTTTGATTTATAGTTATATCCATGAAAGTATTCGATGTAATCCACGTCGTTTATTTCTATCACGTATATGTTATAGATGCAGTACGAAGAAAGGATTTTGGATGAAGGAGTTCGTTGATACACCCAATACAGTAAGTTACAAAAAAACAACTTTGGAAGATTAATTATCTAAAAAATAAAATAAAAATAAAATACAACAAATAATTAAATCGTCTTTCGTACTTATCAATTCATGTCGTTGTGATTAATTAATTTTTTATTTAACACGAGATATACCAGATCAATCATTTTGACTGGTCAAGCCATTTTAATTCAAAATGTCTACTTCATGTAACATTTGACTTCTGTAAATAATTTTAAAATATCTATAAATTCATTTATCTATTAAAATTATTATTGTTAAACATTTTTTTGTTATTTTTTAAGAGTAAATAAAGACTAGAAGTCTTAAAATCATTTTTTTTTTATACATCAGTCATTTTGATTGGTGTAGTAGAAATAGGTATACTGAAAATGGTGGTATATCTAAATGGTATATTAAATATACCATTTACATTTGGTATATTTACCGATATAATAAATGGTATATTGTTAAACATTTTTTGTTATTTTTTAATAGTAAATAAAGACTGGAAGTCTCAAAAAGCATTTTTTGTTGATACACCAGTCATTTTGACTAGTGTGGTAGAAATAGGTATACTGAAAATGGTGGTATATCTAGTGTTTAATGTTTTAAATCACACGGGGGTACAATGATAACATAATACATCATTTTCAAAAAGAAAATTACAGAAATCTTTGTCAATTGTTAAGAAAGTTATCAAATGAAATATAATAGTTATAAAATAATAAAGCTAGAAAAGAGATAAGTATATAGTTGAACGATCGAAGTCGAGTATAATACTGCTATAGTAATATCAGGGAGAATAATAATGAATTGTATATGCACATATTCCCTCTCTTTCTTCCTTTATTTCTTACTTTAGAGATTAATGTAAAATTATATCATGGAATAAGGCAAAATTGTGAAGTAACACGATACAGAGAACGTTGCATGATAAATAACTGGACATAAATGATAACGTTCGTGTTGTTACTTTTGAGAAAAATTCTACAGATAGAAAAATAACAAGGAGGAAAAAAAGAGAAAATTACGTGGGATGTAAAATTCAAATGATAGATCATGTTTCTTAATAATTTATTATCAGAGAAAGAGAGAGAGAGAACACATAGTAATTAAGAATTAACACTAGATATACCAGACCAGTCATTTTGACTGGTCGGGCCATTTTAATTCAAAATGTCTACTTTATGTAACATTTGAATTCTGTAAATAATTAAGCGTTTTGTTATTTCAAAATATCTATAAATCCATTTATCTATTAAAATTATTATTGTTAAACATTTTTTGTTATTTTTGAAGAGTAAATAAAGACTGGAAGCCTCAAAAAGCATTTTTTATTTTATACACAAGTTATTTTGACTAGTGTGGTAGAAATAGATATACTGAAAATGGCGGTATATCTAGTGTTAATAATTTATTATCAGAAAGAGAGGGAACACATATTAATTAAGAATTAAGAAGAAAAATAAAATGGAGAATGTGTTCTATAATAAAAATTGAAAATCAAAAAAGGTATAATAATTAATTATAAAAGTACCTATCAGTATTTTGTTGTTGATCAAATTTTATTATTCAGATTACAGCAATCGAGATTTCTCTCATTGCGAGAAGAAGATAGGCTCCACAGGTGTTTTCGATAACACAGTCAGAGATATGTGTTACTATCGAAACAAAAGATGCGATACGATGCATACAATTAGGAATATTCGAATAGATGAGTGTTGGTTACAAATGAATGTATGTGTGTATGTGTATATATATGTGTATGTGTATATGTGTCAGACTAAAGGAAGAAACAAAGTGTTCTCTAACGAAATCGATTTTCGTGCGTACCTATATATCCTTTCTTGTATATATATATATATATACAAGTATATGTAAATGTATCTTGTATATATATATATACAGGTATATGTAAAAAGCAAGCAAAAGCAAGCAAGCAGGCAAGGCCTAAATTCATCGCAGTAGAAAATGGAAATTGGATCGCACGAAAGTAGGTGGTTGGTTGGTTAGTTGGTTGGTTGGTTGGTTGGTTGGTTGGTTGGTTGGAAGGTAGATAGGTGCGTTCACTTACCCGCCAAGCCTGTTTGCATCTTGATAAAATCACTTCGATCGAGAATAATCAACGTTTGCGTTCGTCCTTCTTCTTCGTAATGGTTTATCCCGACCTCCTCTTCCTCCTCCTCGTCTTCGTCTTCGTCGTCGTCGTCGTCGTCGTCGTCCTCGTTTTCGTTGTCGATTATTCTCGGCATTTAACCGAGACCACCAACCTCTAATTTACCCAAAATGTATTATAACATTTTACATTTAATTTCATTCTTTCTCTTCACTGAAATATTCGATAAAAGATTCAAATGAATAAATGGGTTTAAAGAAATAGATTTATCAACCCCCCAACAGTAAAAAATAAAAAAATGGAATTGGATTTACCTAATTGATGTCAATACAAAAAAATGTTAGCTTATATAGTTTGTTGTTTCTTACGTTGATGATACCAGACGATCAAGTAGGACTTTTTCTTGTTCTTTTTCTTGTTCTTCTTCTTCTTCTTCTTCTTCTTCTTTGGAGAAACAGGAATAAGAGTAGGAGGAAGAAGAGGAGAAGGGTCCCCCCTAATATTTGGAACCCCCTCTCGATCCGTTCCCAATACAGTTTCGTTGGAGACTAATACCTAAACGGAGTGAAGCGTTGGTCGGACTACTACCCCCTCAAGGGTTGCTTGGTTACGCAAGGACGGTTGCGGCGTCGCGACGCTTTGCGACGCACGCGATTTAGCTACACCCCTCGTGTCTAGTATAGTTCTTACCACCGTCATCGTATCGAATCCAACTTATATTCAGTAGACTTTTTCTTTCTTCGTTTCTTCCTTCCTTACTTTCTTATTCTTCGATCTTTTTTTTTTTTTTCTTTTTTAGATCGATATGTTACATTTTCTCTTTACGTTTTTATTTTATAAATATATCTTAATTTATATTATAATATAAATTTATATATGTAGAATTTTCGTATTTGTTTTAAATTTCAAATTTGTACAATTAAATGTACATGATTTTGGTTCCGCCCTTTTTTCCTATCGATGGTTTTACAGAAAACAAAAAAAACATGGCGGAAGCATAATTGTATAAATCCTAAAATAATGTTTAAAAATATGTAGAAATGATATTAGATTATTATTATTAGTTTTTTGAAAAAGTATGAAGCATTGTGTATTTACCCCC